TTGTAATTTAAGGTTTAAGACTTATAAAAGTGTTGGGGAACAAGCCCACATTCAAATAATGAGGATGGAATTAATCCAAACTTAGATAGAAAACTGGTAGGAGGATGAATGGAAATTAAATTTCTGTTGTTTACTGATTTTGGAATTTTGCTTCCTCTGCCAAATCTTAAACTGCTAATCATGTTTATGTTGTGATACAAGCATATAGTAGTATAGTCAAATGTATGCATAGATGGAATTAACTAATCGTGTAAACGGGATATGGATTGCATCAATTATGGTAATTGTTGGAGAAGTAAATTGCATGTCTTTGTTTGTCATTTAACAGATTGTAATTTGGATTTCTTGGTTTAATACTGTTTTAATTATATTTACACAGTTTTCTAAGCATAGTAAATTCTTGGAATTAGCTATGTTTGGTTAGAAGTAAATTGATATAACAACTCAGTTAATTTTATCAATTAGTGGACTTGATGTATGATGTAAATGCTATGTTTTATAAATAACAAATTTAATGGTTGGAATATAATTTCTAGGCCTGGACTGAATGCCTAAGTTTTATAATTATGGATTAATTTGGTTTGTGCATAATTTGGGAGTTGGGTTGATGACTATCTAGTACTGTTTTATCAACTCTGTTAACTGTAGGATGGTATGTACCAGTATGGGATGGTAACATACTAGGTATGGACTAATTCTAACACTAAGTCCTACCTAATTTGGATCAAGGTATGGATTAATCATAAAAGTTAAGTCCATCACCTACATGTGTCATATCAGTTGTGAATTGAATGACCTACAATGATTTCAGGATGGATTTGTTATACATATATTAGACCATTACACAGATGGATGGTATACTGTATTAGGAGGAGTACGGACTTTATATATATATCTTATATGGTGCCGTGGAATGAGCTTGAGTCTCATGACCATGGTTAGAGCGCGTATATCGCCTAAGATGGATAACTGGACATAGGTGTTGTTCCCTGGTAGGTCTAGGTACTCATGCCCACCCTAGGGTGCGTATTCACATGTTGCCTTCTATTCAGGCTGAGACAAACCTACTGGACTAGCGAGCGTCCTATAGTGTGTACTATATACATATATGGACTACTCTAGATATTGTTGAGTCTTCCTAGAATGTATCTGCGTATCAGATTACTGTTTGGATTGTAGTAGATCAGGACTTGCATGTGGGTCTGACCCACTCCTTTATTTTTCAAGTGCTCGTCAGTTCTAGGGTTAGAGCTTGGACGTGCAGAGCAGATATAACTATTCATTCCTTCGATTGTGTAGGAATATTCTCTATGTTAGCCCTGGGATTTTATATTTATTATTTCAGTATTGGTTTGAGATTTTTTTAATAAGGGGTCCAATGGATAGATTCCCGAGTTGTAAACCTATGGAGTTTGGGATTTAACAGTTTTCAATAATTATATTATTTTAAGGATTTTCAATTAGCATTCTTTCAGCTTATTATTATTATTATTTTATTTCATCTTGTACTCTATGTTTGGTTACATATTAATTGTTTGATATCCCTCGGGATTGGGCCTGGGCCTGATCAACCTGTATCTCAGATCCGAGGAGTATCACAATATATAATGGTGAATATAATGGACTTTAACGGTTATAAGGGTATATAAGGTATTTTGTATTTTTTCTAAGGCACATGGGTCACGTGCCATTACTCACGTTAACTATCAGATGGTCAATTAACGGCCTTACATGTTTTTGCAACAAATAGGATAGTTTAGGGGGTTAAATGTATTCCTTAGAGTTTAGGGGGGTTTTTTGAGAAAGAGAAGAAAGTACAGGGGGGTTTAGTGCACTTTACCTTTAAATATATAATTATGGTACCACGATATGAGTTTAAGTCTCAGAGTCGATGGTTAGGGCGCGTATATGCAGTGGATGCGTAGCTGGCTATGATAGGTTGAGGTGTACCCCGTTAGGCTTAGGTACTCATGTCCACTCAGGTGCGTTTTTGCATGTTGCCTTCTATTCAGGTTGAGACCCCCTTTGTAGTCCAGTGAATGTCATTTAGTGTGGATATATATATATATATATATATATATATATATATATATATGTATGGACTAGATAGGTATTGTTGAGATATCTAGGGTGTATCTGCGTATCGGGTCATTGTATGGCCCTTTGTAGTCCAGTGAATGTCATTTACTGTGGATATATATATATATGTATGGACTAGATAGGTATTGTTGAGATATCTAGGGTGTATCTGCGTATCGGGTCATTGTATGGATTACAGTTGGATTAGAACTTGTTCGTGGGCCTGACCCACTCTTATATATTTTTTTCAGGTATCAGACGGTTCCAGGATTAGAACTTGTTCGTGGGCCTGACCCACTCTTATATATTTTTTTCAGGTATCAGACGGTTCCAGCCTTAGAGATTGATCGTGCTTGTCGAGGACAGTCTCTCAGTCATCTGCATACGTAGGACTTCTCTCGATGTTCTAGTTTAGTTTTATTTTCTGTTATCTCAGTTCAGTTGGGATTTTTATTTAGGGGTCCACTTAATAGATTCCCAAGTTGTACTTTTGGAGGTTTTGGAGGATTTGATATTGGATACTTCTTTAAGCATTATTCTTTTTCTTATTTTATTCTTTTTATATTATGTGTTCATTTTAAAATACTTTAATTGTTTGATATCTCTCTCGGGCTTGGATCTGGGCCTGATTAACCTGTGTCTCGGATTCGAGAGGTATCATAGTTTGGCCCTATCTAATCCTTTTTTTTTTTCTTTTTTTTTTTTTTAAAAAAAAAAAAAAAAAAGAAAAGGACTCCTCAAATTAAATTTACATAAAAAAATATAAAAAAAAATAATAAATAAAAAAAACACATAGTTAATTCATTATATATAGGTCTCGATCATGCTCCTGGCCCAGAGTCAAATGATGCAGGGATCATAGTTTTGGGTGGTGGGCACAAGTCACAACTAGTAAACAGATAAAAGTGTTCTAGTGAAAAGTGTTAACACATTTTAATTTAGGTATAGGCCACTATAAGTATCGAGATTATCAAGACTTTTAGCATTGAGGACAACACCCTAATCATGCCTCCATGTCTCTATCATTCTTTTATCTTCACCCTTAATGCCTTGAGCATTATCCCCACAACTTATTGCCAGTCCATTCATTTTGGCTCTACATTGTCAAGTCCCTTGTTTTTTACTTTGACATATTGTAACTTATTGCCTGTCTATTCCAATTTTCTTTTGGATATAATTGTTAAGTTCTTTGTTTTATATATGCATAAAGTAAAATTTTATTACTTGTTTTGCATCTCTCACAATTTTCAAAACACGTCTTAAAATATAAGAAGGTATTGTTCTTATAATGTCAACAACATCTCTTTTAGGTTCACCTGAAACATTGCACTCAATTAAAGTACCAAAACGAGGAGAAGAAAATACATAACAATCAAAAAAAGATATTCACACCTCAAGTGGTTAGGAAAACAATATATATATATATATATATATATATATAAACTTCTTGAATCATCGGGCAGATAATGTAAATTGTATTAGAGGCATCCTATGATGTCTACACATCCAACATATAATTCGGTTACGATTAATACAAAGGTGACACAGAAACCATCGAATGGGGTAGGTGGGTCAAAAAAACACAAAACAATTATCTACAATATATACATAAATAAATAATAAAAAATTTCCTTTGCATCCCCGTTACCATCCTTTTCATTGTTTTTAATCATTGCAGATTACATCCTGGATTAATTTGGCTCTTTCGAATTTCGACACACTTCTGGTCCTACTGTGCCAAGAAAAAAAAAAAAAAAATCACCTTTCAATTAATAAAGATTTGATTAATTAAAAATTTAGAACCCAAAGAGAATTGGAGTGGTTCACTATTCATATATATATATATATATATATATATATACTTTTAATCAAATAATTTGTTCGTCAAAGAGAAACCGAACACAACCAAACAAGGGAAGGTTAAGGATTTCCTTGTCATGTTGTTTAGTTGTAACGACTCCATTATTTCTATGTTAGGGTTAAGGGTCGGCCTAACGTACGGAATTTGAGGAGAGTTAGACATATGTAGTTTTACTATAGAGTACATCTAAATAATAAGGTAATACAAGAAAGAAGATGATGAATAAAATACTAACTGAAATGAACAGTATACTAAAAAGGTAGAGTTGGAGGGATAGGATTTGTTGAGGTCGTGGGGAAATCACAAGCCTCATTTATATTGTCACGTCACAAACCACGGTCGGAGGACGAGCTCCTCAGTGAGTTAGAGGGGGTTTAAGACGGGCCAAACAAGGTCGAGCTCCTCAGTGAGTCGGAGGGGGTTTAAGACAGGCCAAACGAGAATTTTATTTTGGAGATTGTCTTTTATACACTTGAATGTCCTCTGTATTTAAGTCTCCTTTTTTTTTTTTTTTGGTCATATTTTGTGTTAGTGTGATTTTGAGAGAGACAAATTTGTTCTCTCTCTGATATTTCCGTTGTAAACACTTATTATTGATAAGCATAGGCAAAAAACATATTTTTATAAAAATCACAATATGACTTGGAACCAAACAAAATTCAAGTCACAATTTTACAGAAGGATTGATTAATGACTTTTAACTAGATCACAAAGTGACTTGTATCGAAACAAAATTCGAGCCAAATTTTTACAGAAGGGTTGATTAATGACTTTTACAGGAGTGCCTTGGCATTCCAGTTACTATCCTCCCACCGCCAAACAAACTACATATATTTGTAACCATGTTTACAACGTTTATGACGACACGACAATAAAAAATATAGTAGAACGAATAATTGTGGCCACAATAATCTTCCTAGGAGTGCCAAAAAGTCCAACATCCTGTCTGATATTTCTCTATATCCAATTTGAGAAAGCAAAAACAAAATTCGAGTCACAATTTTACAGAAGGTTGATTAATGACTTTTACAGGAGTGCCTTGGCATTCCGGTTACTATCCTCCCACTGCCAAACAAACTACATATATTTGTTTTTGCTTTCTCTATACCCAATTTGAGAAAGCAAAAACAAACTCCATGAACGGCAAATAACCAAATTAAATTGTCTGTATCTCTTACCTCATAGCTCACCTTTGTGGCCATCACAGTTATATAAATTTGATCAAAGTGTCCCATTTCTCTCATAACCTACAACACACAATCACAAACACATTCTTCAAATCACATTGCAATGGCATTCCCTCATCTTTTCCTGGCCCTTTTCGTTCTTCAAGCTCTTGTTCTCTCCCCTCTGTCGATCAAAGCCGCCCCATCAAACCTCTTCCGCGAATACATTGGAGCCGAGTTCAACAATATCAAATTCACAGATGTCCCAATTAACGCAAATGTCGAATTCCACTTCATTCTCTCCTTTGCCATAGACTACACCACCTCCTCTTCAGCCTCCCCCACCAACGGGAAGTTCGACGTGTTCTGGGACTCCGATAATCTCAGCCCCTCCCAAGTCTCTTCCATCAAGAGTAAGCATTCCAATGTCAAAGTAGCTCTCAGCCTCGGAGGGGACAGCGTGGGCAATGGCTTCGCCTACTTCGCCCCATCCTCAGTCGACTCGTGGGTGTCCAATGCCGTTTCATCGCTCACAAGCATCATCAAACAGTACAATTTGGATGGCATTGACATTGACTATGAGCACTTCCATGCTGATCCCAACACTTTCTCCGAATGCATTGGAAGGCTTATCACAACACTAAAGAAAAATGGTGTTATTAAATTTGCTTCCATTGCTCCATTCGATGATGATCAAGTCCAGAGCCATTACTTGGCTCTGTGGAAGAGCTATGGCCATCTCATCGACTATGTTAACTTCCAATTTTATGCGTACGATAAGGGGACTAGTGTGTCTCAGTTTTTGAGTTACTTCAAGAGCCAGAGCTCGAACTATAATGGTGGAAAGGTGTTGGCGAGCTTTATAAGCGACGGGAGTGGTGGTTTGTCGCCACAAAATGGCTTCTTTACTGCCTGCAATAGGCTCAAGAGTCAGAACCAACTCCATGGAATCTTTATTTGGTCTGCAGATGACTCTAAGTCCAATGGATTTCGCTATGAGAAGCAATCACAAGCTTTGTTGGCATCCCACTAGAATTTGCAATGGCTTTGAAGCTTTTAATAATTGTATTGACAAAAAACCATTGTACTTGAATAGATTGTGAAACGCCTGTATTACTGTAATGTTTATCTTTCAGATTGTGTTCTGTTTGTAAGAATAATGTACCTTAATATATATTTAGTAGTTGTTTGTAGCTAATGTGAACTTCTTGTGCTTTCAATGTGTGTAATGCTACAAATATGATTGATATTTTTTGTCAATTCCAATAACTAGTGTCTATCAAGCACTAAATAAGAATATAGTTTCTCTTATTAGGGTTTTAAATTCGATGATGGTCACCTCAGCTAGTAACAAAAATTGAAAAACTTATATTTTTTTTCTTTTAATAAATGAATTGAGCAGGAATCTGGGATTAAAGTAGGTCACGCAGAAGGGGTACTGAAAATATGCCTAAACTGTTGGGATTTTTTCCACCCACTTGTGCATCAAAATATATATATATAGGTGTTGTGTGTGTGAACACAAAGAAAAGTGTGGTGTACGTTGTTGATGGAAAAATAAAAGTCAAATTCTAATGTCAGAAGTGTGCATTGAATGCTAGCCGGCTAACTAGACTATAGCCCAAGTCCAAATAGTAATATATATATATATATATATATAAGGTAGAAAATTCTAGTGTCTGAAGTGTGCATTGAATGCTAGCCAGCTAACTAGAATATGAGGAAAAATGGTCTCCTGCTACCCTCTCATTGGAAGGTGTCCATTGCTGACGTGTCTGTTTCAGTAACTTGGTGACATGGCAGCTTAGTAAATATAAAATTTACTTCTTATGTATATAATACTATTTATGTATTCAAACAAAAGTTTTATATACTTTTATATACATATGATCTTAAATTTCCTCCCAAAACTGAATTCTTATTTCCCCCAAATGTGAGATCTTATTTCTCCCGAATCTAAAATGTTTATCCTCAACTTTTGTATCATTCTTTGCCTCTGAAATTCAGCTTCTGAAATTGAAGCCATGAAGAATTCGGTCACTGACCAAGAACCCGGCAACTGATCAAGAATTCGGCCAAAAGCGAAGCTTCTGAAATGGTCTCTCTCCCTTTGTCTGTCTATCCGGCGAATGACCAAACTTCGTTCAAGTGTTTCTCCCTCTAAAACCGAAGTCAATGGAGCTTGGCCGAAAACAATGGAGCACCATCATTAACTTCGCCGGACATTAGTGATGTGAATGAAGCTTAGCCGGAAACAATGGAGGTTACTAGGACTGGTTTGGTTGGTTCTGCTCGCCGATGTTGGAAGGCTCGTTGACGGACTGAAACTGCAAAAAATAGCTTGTGATTTGGTCACTGAAACTTGAATCAAGTTTTTGGATCACCGAACAGAAATCGGTGTTGATTGTGAATGCTATTATTTGATTTGAATTTTTTTTTTTTTTTTTTTTTTTTTTTTTTTTTTTTTTTTTTTGTCGGTAGTTTGATGCTAATATTATAGATATGGGGGAGGGTGGCTTGGGATTTAAAATTTTTATTTTTTTGTTTTTTTTATTTTTTTTGGTTGAATTGTTGATACCAACTAATTGAAGCAAGATTTAGGGGAGTGAATGTTGTGAGGCTCTATTGTTTTGTATATAGAATGAATGCAAAAAATTTGTTTTTTTGGTAATGTAATTATACAAAATTTTAATTTATCAAAAGATTGAGATATAATATAATGCATATACACAAAAATCTCCTTTGGTAATGACAACTTTTAAATAAGTAGCAAAAATTTGTTTATTTTTTTAATGTAATTACACAAAATTTTAATTTGTCAAAGATTGAGATATATATTGCATATACACAAAATTTCCTTTAGTAATGATAGCTTTTAAATAAGTAGAAAAAAGTGAAAAAATAATAACATGCTAAACAAACATATCTTGAACAAACATTAAACTACGTAATATTAAACAAACATATCTTGAAAATATCACAACTTTAAAGTATAATGTTTCAAAAATTAATTATATGATACATCTCAACTTAATTGTAACATATATCATTTATGAACTTTATAATACAACAATAATATAAAAAGGAATGGAATAAAATAAATCCATCAACTTTCTTTTATGAGTGGAAGATTGTCCCATTGTCAAAAGTAAAAACATGTTACACAACTTAAGCTTAACATGTTTCAAACGTAAATTATATCTAGCATTACAAATTACTTGTAACACGTATCACTTATTATATAAATTAATGTCTAAAACATAATGAATACTTACCTATACATATCTTGATTTAAAATTGCCATTTTACTTCATTGTTGGCATAATAGTTTTTTTTTTTTTTTTTCAAAATTAAATTTTATTAATCAACAACCAAAGGGAAGACTATACTTTGTGAAGTATATTTTTTATATGTGTTATGAAAATATTCTGATACAATATTCAATTCATACATGATACATGTTGTAAGAACTTGTGATTCTTATTTATTGTAATCTAAAATTCTAAATTTATTTTTGATATGTGTTATGAAAATATTCTGATACAATATTCAATTCATACATGATACATGTTGTAAGAACTTGTGATTCTTATTTATTGTAATCTAAAATTCTAAATTTACTTATCAATTATGCATCTCAAATATGTTTTGAGATGCATAATGGATAGGTAAATTTGTTGTGATTCAAAATCTGTTATTTTGTAAATAGAATGATTGCAGAATTTTTTGTTTTTTTTTTTTGAATGTAATTACACAAAATTTTAATTTGTCAAAAGATTGAGATATATAATGCATATACACAAAATTTCCTTTGGTAATGACAGCTTTTAAATAAGTAACAAAAAGGGAAAAAATATTAGCATGCTATTTAGACCTATTTTTCAAGAAATAAGTTTTTATATCATATTTCTTTCCAAATTTTGATCACCATCTTTAAATTCTAGATCATTATCCATTAATTACCAAACCAGAATCATCTCTCATAGTGAGTATACATCATTACCGCTGATTAATCTAGCGGTCAAAATTGAGCCACGCCAATTAAAAAAAGGAAATCATTTTTCAATTGAATGAAAAATATAGGGAAATAATGCCAAGGCAAACATTGCCTTAACGATCCAAACCCAGTTCTCTCTCCCCTATCTTTCTTCCCCAAATATGGTTATCTCGTTTGTCACTCTCTCTCCAACTGTGCGAAGAAGAAACCATGGGTTTTTTGTGGTCACCATCCTTGATCAGACAAATCAATTCCACTTTAAAGTGTGTATATATATATTTATGGGAATAAGAGGAAACATAAAATCAACTGAAATCAATTCCATTATTTTACCTAGTTAATTCCATTACCTACATGAGGATGAAGGTATTTGGTGTTGGTGAAAAATCAAAGGAGGATGAAGGAAGAAGAAGAGAACAGAAGCATGAAGAAGACAAATAGAAGAGGAGAAGTAAAAGTTAATTGGGTTTTTACTGAATTGGGTCCCATGTATAACTGAATAAAATATTTCTGTATATAACTTTTGTATACGGTATTTGTACATGGTAATAAAACAAAATTGAGTTTAGAAACTTTTTTAATTCACATATTGAGTTGGCGCTTATTGGGCAATGACAAGGCTACTCTGGGTGACATAGCTTCATCAGGGCCATTGGATTTGCCATGGACACCCTCCAGTAAGAGGTGCCATGGAGAGGATTCGCGCCCCTAGACTATAGTCCAAGTCCAAATAATATATATATATATATATATACATATATATATATATATATATATATATTATTTATATATTAGTACTACTATTTCTTATTAGTCATAACCCAGCCTAAGTTGCCAAATTCATAATAAAACATAAATGATAAATGGCCCAGCACAGCAAACCAAAGCTACAAGCCAACAAACAAATTAGTCTACGGAACTGGAAGATTGAAGAAGACCTAACTATTCGGGTGTAGTAGGTTGCTCATTGTCATCTGCATCTTGCAGCTTGAGTGATAAATCGTCTTTTGCAATCTCCGCCATGGTTAGAACTTAGAGGAGGCTTTATCGTCGGTGCTAGGGTCAATGTCGCCATCAACAATTCAATTTCTCCTGATAAAGCGGAAGACAATACGCCTGTTTCGTCGATCTTCTCAAGGTCAAATTTCTCCCGTTCACCCTTCTCTCTTCCAATTGATGACATTGTCCATTTTTTCTACACCAATTTTGATATAGTCTGACATCATGAGTTTTGAATTGTTATTTATGGAGTATTTATTTTTCTTCTTGTAGGAGTGATGCATAGGATTTTCATTTTATTTTGTTTAATTTTGTAGGTAATTGGGGTTAGTGATACTTAATTATTTTAGATAGTTTTTTAATTATTTAGAAATTATTTCTTGGATAAACAATGTATTTCTATAAATTGCAGCACTCTGGGTTTCATCCTTGCAGGTTAATTTTTCCCCAATATGAGAAAATTGAGTTTTGTAGATGTGAAATAAAAGTGTGTTGTGAACACGCACATAAATAAAATACAAAATTACAAATCACACAACAAACAAAGTAGAGAAAACAAAATAGAATCTGACCTTGAAAATACACAAAACACCAAACAAGTCATTTAATCCAATAGATTTTTTTTTTTTTTAAAAAAAAATATAGATATATATATACACACACACACTTAGAGCATGAATAACACTATTTTTTTTTTTTTTCTTTTTTCTTTTTTTTTTTTTTCCTGCTGTCAGCTCTATAGGTGATAAGCAATTAGGCATGCTCTTTATTTTTGTTTGTTGAAGCACTACAAGGTAGGAATTTTCCGCCGTCAAGATGAAAAAATTTCTTATCTTTAGCCCCCACTTTGCAATCCTAACTCCGCCCCTGGGAATGAGTGACTATACATTTATTATATTGTGTTTGTATAATCCCTACTCTCCATGTATAATCTATTTTCTTCCTAATTGTAGTCGGATATGGGTTGAATCACATTGTGTTTGTTTTGTTTGCATTATGTGTGCTGTTTTGTGATCGAATCTCTACATGTAAGTTTGTTATTTGCTTTATATGAAATAAGGAATAGTCTGTCTCATTTAAAATTTCAATCTAGAGATAACTTAAAAATTAAATGCGAGAGATGAATGTTTTTTTAATTGAAATTATTTGCCATTGTAGCGATTCATAGTGTTCAGGATTAAGATGTAAGACTAAAACTCTTG